GCATATGTTCTGTTGGCTCAACACATAGATTAACTTATTGATTATATCTGGCACAGTCCAGAATACAGTGTTAGGTTTGATAGCTGATATAACTTTCTTATGGAAGCCCAAATTGCCTCTGCTTGCAATAATTATTTAATGCTGTTTTCTCAAGGGCACAGGTTTAAATTCTTTATTATCAAGTGACAATGAGGTAATTCATTTTTAAATCATTATAAAAATTTATATGTTTATGTTGGCATTAACAAAGAAAGATTAAAGGCCTTTGTCAAAGTTAAAGTTTGAGATTTTAGTGAAAAAAAGCCTTTTTCCATTTGTTTTACTGACTTGATTATTCTCAAAGAATATTACCTTTTGATATTGATTAAGTGTAGTCAGTCAATAAAGTGTATCAATGCACTTTACTGACTGAATACATACAAAACTCTGCATGTAGTGAAGCTAAAGCGGTCAGAAAAAGTCCATTTGAAGAACTTTTTTTTTTGATGCTGAGGCTCCATGATGCTGAGAACTGAAGTCAGGAAGTACTGGACTGCTTCAACACCTCACACACTGACACCCACTGAAAGATCTAATCTGGCCTGGCAGCTCATTATCACCTCACCTCTGAGACTGCTCAGCCTCCTGCCGTGTCTTGATAGTCGAGGTAATTAATTCCATTCCCGATCCTCTGAATGCTAAGACTGGAGGCTGCATGAGACTCAGTGCACAATTGCATTTTTAAATGGTTCCTGACACAGTGAATTATATCTTTTAATGACCACTTTGCTGTTCTGTGTTCATGCTTGTTTGTCCATTGCTAAACCCCCCCCCTCTCCTATGCACAAAGCTCAGCCAAAAGGGTGAAAAGGTCCAAGAAGCACATCCACCCTCATCAAATATGAGCACTCCCACAATCCAATTATCTTTGCCTGTCTCTGCCACCCACCTGTGTAATCCATCTATTTTTACCCCTTCTCCTCTTTTGTTATCCTTCACTAAACTCCTCAGTCTCATCTTCTTTACAGCTTACACTTCATCGCTTCTTTTTTGTTTTCTTGCCATGTTTTCCTGTTTTTGTTTGTATTTTCTCCATCTCTTCTGTTCCAATACGTTCTCCCAGTGGGCTGGAAGCATCAAGGACAGAACACAGAAGTAATGACTCTGCAGCTCGAACAAATGGGATTTTCTACTCAGAACCGATTGCATGCATGGAATATTTCTTATCTAGCTAAATGCAAACACAATGTTGACGTAAGCAACCAGAGGAGGAAACTGAATAAATCATAGGGGCAAAAACAAAAAACAAATAAGATTTCATTCATATCGGGTTAAAGAAACATTTTTGAGCAGGGAAATCTGACATTACATTTGAAATGACTTCTTAATAAAGTGGATCACCCACAGCTCTGACAGAACATTTCAAATTAAATGAAATGTGCAGACTGAAAATAAGGCTGACGTGGTTTTAGATTTTTTTTTTTAAGTACCTGCATTGAAACCTTTCAGTCATTTTTGCAAAATGTGCAAGTGTTTGAGCAGTGGAATGACTGTCAGCAAAAGAGTAGGTGAGGCTGGAATAAAAGCTCCAACAATCACACTTTTTATTACTTTGTAAGGAACTGGATTGATGATTGATATCCACCCTTTTAAAACTGAAAAGGAGACCTGCGTTACAGCAGTGTGCCAGGGGTAAAAACTGCCTTCCCATGCTTCCTTGGAACTTTCTTTAGCTCAGAAAGTGTGTGTGTATATGTGTTTTAGTAGTATGCGTTTTAACACTTCAAGGTGAAAACATTCTGTGAAAAGTGCTTTTTTAATACCCCATGAAAAAGGGCTTAGGTTAGATTTAAAGGAGAGGTTTAAGGATCCTGGTCTGAGATAATTTGACCAAGGTTAATTTTGGAGTTCATTTTAGGATTAAAAGGTGAGGATTAAGGTTGTTGTTGGTGATTTTTTCTTCTTCTTTTTTATCACAGAGGAAGGATGTGTGTGTGTGAAAGAGAGCAGGAGGTTTATGATCTCTGTGGTCCAGGAGGGCATCTTTCAGTTATAAGCACCAGCTGCTACAGTCATCTGGCTGCCCTCCTTTGCTTTATAAAACCTATTATCACAACTGCCGGAAATATATATTTATATATTGAACGAGGGAGCTGCAAAGCCAGCAATTGGGCTCACATCAAGGGCAAATCAAAAAAATTATATTTACACTTTTCCCGTCGCTGGGGTCAAGCTGTAAAATGTTCACTTTGCTGTAAAATCAATTCCATAGGCAGCAAGTTATCTGGCCCTAAAAGCTCAACATAAGCCCCACTGTTGATTCACCGTCTCATTTCCTATCGTCTGTCTCTGTTGCCTCTTTCTGCCTCTCTTCCTCCCTTGTATCCTTCGATCCTCATGGTCCTCATCTCCTCGCCCTCCTCTGCTTAAGAACCAACTCCATTACGCCCACATCCTCTCTAAAAGCTGGCAGATTTGTCCTCTCAATGAGGCTGACTACATCGGGCTGAAATTGGATACTTTAATGGTCATTGGCATGGAAACCTCCCATATAAACCCCAATGCACATTCAGTCAAAGGTTCAGAGATGTTTGCGACACAGGCATTATGAGACGTGCACTCTGAAAGTACCAAATCCAAAGTGAAAGAAATAATAACCAAAACAGCACACGCAAATTCACAGAATTCAGCAAAGCATTTATCTGAATTAGAAATCTATTAGGCCAAATGTAGTTTTAATGGCACTGCAGATCAATGCAGTCCTGTGTTTGTCACACAGTGTTTGCATATTGCAGGATACATTTGTTTATGGACTTTCTGTTAGGAAAGAAGCTATTAATGTTACTGGAAATGTCTTGCATCATAATTGAACGTGTGTGCAGTACAGCGGCACAGACACATGTCAACATGCCTACAGTGACGATGATAGAATGGGGATGTTTCCTTTTCCCTTTGGAGCCAGAAGTGACACGACTTGGTCAACGGGGTGGATATCACAGAGGTAAACTGAGTTGTTGCTCAGCAGAACGCTAGCTGAACCCCACTATCACTCAACAAACAAGTCTTTGTATGATTTGAATTGGTGACTTGTTTTTAGCCAGAGTAGTATCTTCCATTAGCATTTTAGTGGACATTTGCTGCCTCGGGTAAAAAGAGGAGAGCGATGTAGTTACCTGTTTGCACTGTAACAGTGTGGCCTGGAGCAAAAGGTGCGGAACGTCATGTGCCAAAATTAAATCGCTAATCACAAAACAACAAATTTGCTTCAATTAATTGTTTTAAACAGATATCAGCTCTTAGATGTCTTAGCTGTCAACACAGAGAAGTTAGTATTGGCTCCCTTTATTCCTAAGCACCGTCAGCACCTTGAAAAGTTGCCTGCCTCTCCCGAGCGTTATATCATTTTGCTATTTTGCTCTAAACGGGACCATTAGACTTCTGAAATCCACAGAGAAGTCTTGTTATTGTCTCATCTGTTTGTTCACAATCATACTTATTTTTGCAACCCTTGAAGTCGCCACCTGCTGGCCATTAGAAAGAATGTACATTTTGAACACTTTTCCGTGAATCTGTTCGTTCAGCCAGAGGAGCTGCTTGTCAACAGGCAAGGCAGGCAACTGCTTGTGGCCCCAGACCAGTAGGGGCCCCTGATGGCTAACAAACTTAAACCAAAGCGACGGCCCAAAATGTGAACATTTAGCTATGACAGTAGGAAACCTCCCTAACGGGGCACCATCTGCCAGCACTCACTCTTGTTGCCCTGCTGAGTATTGCATGCATCATTGCTGTGAAAAACAAAGATGTTAATGAAAGTCAACAAAGAAAAATGAAGAGGAACTATCCGTCTATAGGAGAGAAAAAAGAAACAGTTAAAAGAGGAAGAGAAGTAAGCGCCAGGGTCCCAACAGACTCTAGAACCGCCACTGCTTTCAGCCTCATGCATTGGTGCTTAGGTTTACTGAGTTCACAATTATAATTTGTAGTGTGCACATTATTGTAAAGTTCTACAAACAGATACATTTGTTTTGTAGGTTTTAGATCATTAACCAAATCAATGAACAAAAAAAAACACAAGACCATCTGGTGGCTGCAATTCACCATGACAGGGACATAAATATCTGAACTCAATTTCACAGCATCTAACTGTTATTCAGCTCAAAGCAAACTATGGATCTCATGTTTGTTTAATAAGAGCAGTCAGAGGATCACCAGAGTCATTAGAATTCTTCCTCAGGGAACAATAAATATCTGTAGGCTTTAACATGCTATTGTAATCTATCCAATATCTGTTCAGATATTTGAGTTTGGATAAAGTGGACTTACTGAGTGATGTTCCACTGTAAGCTAAAATAAATCTACATGTCATGCCACACTTTTTCACACAATCATTTCTCCTTAAGTGACCCAAAGAAAAAACCTCAGTGACTACCAAAAGTCACGGCGAGGTTCAGTGCACATTTCTCAGAGCTATTAGGCCTGGACAGTTTTTCTAGTTTAGGGCACATGGAATGTGATATTAGCTGCCAAAGAGGCAGAATATGATGTGAAAAGCTGTGTTTAAGATTTTCGCCATTTTGCTTTTAATATCCTAGAAAGGCTAATTCTGCAATAATTGCAACAGTTTTGAGTTTCCAGAAGGGCTGTAAATTACTCTTAAACCCCCCCTAGTGACACAGGTGACATTTAAAAAGAGAAACGTTGGCTCAGTTTTTAATTGGTGCAGGAAATTGGCAAGGACTGCTGTGACGTATTTAAAAATTAAACCCTTCTGAGAATACGTGCTGGCTCTTTCCATTTCATGTCTCTGAATAGTGAATTAGGAAATGTGGCCTTCGAGGTCTGAACACTAAGAGGTGATCGAGGTAAGAAAAATAAATTGAAAGAAAAGGAGAAAAGGGGGGGTTAATAAAATTGGACGCATTCTTACAGAAGTGCGAAGGCATTTTCTCCACCTCATTTCCACTGGTTACTCCTTCATTGGTTCAACTCATCATGATAGGAAACACAAGGATGACAAGATCAATGTTTTCAATTATTCTTTATATACAAAAACAATATACACATGTTGGACGTAACAGTAGCTGTTTTTTTTTTGGAATATACAGCATCATCATCATCCCACGACTTAAAACCCCCCCGACACTGACTGAATGTTTAAGTCAGATGGTAAATATTGTGACTCCCAAATAAATCCTGAAACCTCACAGTGAGTTTCATGAATGAATAGATTTACATGTTAAAAATTAAAGTCTCTCAATTACGAACAAAAGCAGCAGCACCCTGATTCTGGCTCAGCAGAAAATGGGTTTTCTCTTTAATGTGGGGGAATGATAGGAAGCTTCAACAAACACCTTCAGCTCGTTTTCATCAACTGTTGGAAGTCTTCTTCAGTCATGTTGATTATAAGGAATAGCTGGGAAAGCAAGTCTTAGTGTCCATTAATGTTTGAACCCAACTAAACTGCTATTTCAGAGGAATACATTTGAAAATGTAAACGCATGTTTGATTAAAAAATTTGAACTTGTAAAAAAATGCAGCAAACAAAAAAAACTTTGAATGCTCCCTTGGGTCTAATTGCAGAAGTTTTATGTTGTTAACCTCCCAGCTCCACAAGCTACAGATGAATGATGAGATGAAACAGACAGCAGCCATAAAGGATTGGACAGGACTGGCTCCCTGTGATTAGAACTGACTGTTTATGACCAAACACACACTGCCAAGGCTCACAACTGCTTAGTCTGGATGCCATATAAACTATGTAGTAAAATATTTGGAATGATGCAGAACACGTTCAATCCATGTGGATGTGATGACAGTCCAGGACAGCTCATTCAATACTTACAGATTAATGAAGTCACCTTCATGTTTTGAAGAGATAAGATCTGACTTTACACAGCAGGGGCGTGTCCAGAGGGGTGGCATGGGCCCCCCTTAAATTCTGATTGGCCACCCCAACATCCAAATATATGATTGGCTTTTTGCCTAATCAGAGGCGGGACTTAAATTACAACTATTCTGGATGTTTTCAACATGCAATTGTAGTAACTTCTTTTGCTAGTAGTTTTGGTTGTAAATAAATCCGTCACATACTTTGCTCTTTCCATAAAAAGTTTAAGCAAAAACTCATGCACAACATCTACCCTGCAATAACTTACCAATAAATGTATTTTTTGCAAGTAAGTGCGTACAAGTGTTTGACTGCGATTTGCTAAGTTCAAATTGTGACTTTCACATACGTCTTTGTTTTTGAGTCCCTAAAGAATCAAGCTCAGATTGTGTTACATATTAGTACATATCATTATTGGGGATAGAAAACGGTTGAAAATTAAAATAATTTGCGTGTGTGGCCACAAACTTCATGCCTCCTCTTCAGAAGTCAGCGCCCCAGGTGGGTCACCCCAATCAAAAAAGTCTGGACACGCCCCTGTTACACAGGGTTTTTTTTTTTTTTTTCTGTAACACTTTGATTTCTACCTTAGCTATTATATATAAATTATTATTATTATATGAAAGCGTGTCAGCTTTTGTGTTGCAGTCAGTATTATAGTTTATAAAAAATTAAGAAGATAAAATGATGACCCCTTATTTCCTCTGCTTTATCTTTTTTTAATTTAATAAATTATGTTTTCATATCATGTTTGTCAGCCTCTTTGGCAGCTAATAATCAAATACTTTTTACAAATAGTTGCTGAAGAATAACATTAAAAACTGCTTACAATATTTTAATAGTTTGAGCTAAAACATCAATAAACTTGTAACTGCGTTAACTATCTGGATTCATTTGGGGTCTTATTTCTAAGATGTTCAACCATATTTTCTCAACAATGAGAAACGAGAACAAAGCTGTAATACCTGGCCAGACTTTTGACTCAATTCTCAAATGTACTCTTAAGAGTGTTAAAACATATCGAATAATGAGCTCCACTTTTCAACTCATATCCTGTCTGTTTTTTCCAGTTGGTGCCGATGAACTAAATGAGATGCGAGGTCGGTTAAGAATTTAAAATTGCTTTTAAACTGACCATCCGTATAAAACGTCTTATACATGGTCTGATTAGGAAGCAGGTAGGCACATATACGTGTGCTGCTCATTTCATATTCATCGTGTTAGGATGACAAAAAAACCCCAACTAAAATCAGAGCTTAAAACATTCACATCAAAGTTCTATTGTATCATATTGGTAGTCAAATTGATTTCATAGTATGCACATGCTCGATATACATTCTGTACAAAATCATCAATATATAGAACAACATAGAAATTGACATCATTGAATACTGTCGTTTCTTCTTCTCTGTACATCACTTCATGTAACAACCTCAGAACAAATCCGTCTTTTCTCTGTGTTTGGAAGAACGTAGAGTTTAGTGGAGGTCTATCAAGAGAACACAACCTTTAGACGTCAGCACCCTCGATCACTAATCGCCAGCATCTCCTTCAGTGTCTTCATATGCTGAGAGGAATATGCTTTTATTGAATTCCAAATATGAACTTCCATATCAGTGAGCAATGTGGGCAATGTTTTCATCTTAGAGAAGTCCTCGCTAATTTTATATTAAGACTTATATGTTCAGATTCTCCGTTTGCTGTCTTACTTTCTGATGTGTCTTTGTGATAACTCTGCTAAATATTGATACAATTTTTTTTTAAATAATTCATCCCTGTTACATCTTTCATTAACATATCTTTTGAGTGATGAGTTTTTGGGATGGAGCACTAAGAATCAGCAAATCAATAAGTGTAACAAAGCTGAATTATGATCCAAATAATTCACAATTCATTGACATCAAACATTGAATCCACTAATACACGTAATGTCTTTGTGTGCACATTTGAGAAAAGAAGAACATTCTCTTTGATGTGCTTCAGTCGTGCAGCGAACAGTTATCTTGTTTGTACTGAGTCTGATGAAACACCTTTTAAGGAGCGGTGGAGTATTTCTTGAGAGAATACTGAAATGTTCAATCAAATATGAAAATAGATCCTGAACATTTTCATTTCTAATTAATAAATTAATTGAGTATTTTTGTATTGTAAATGTTCAAATGATTCACTGATGAGGAGCTTCATTGTTAATACCATCTGGGAGTCAAAAGACACATCGTACTGTGTGCTAATAAAAACAGATGGGAATAAAAAGGAACATGTCTGGGTATAGGTGTACATGGGGCTCTTTTATCAGAGTTTTCCTCCTTGTGTGTCCATCACTGTCTGACAAACTAAACTCCAAAAAACATGTTCACGGTAACAGATAATAATAAGGTTCTTTCTCCACCACTTCTCCTGGTGGAGACTAGCTGAATGCTTCAGTGCTGAAACCTGGATATGAAGTCTGCCGAACTAAATCAAACCTGTAAACTTTCATGTAAAAACACAAACATACAATCAAAGCCATGCTTGTTGATTGGCACAAAGTCACTCTGAGCGAGAGCCAGAAAAAGCCTGAAATAAAAGAAAACCCAAAGTCAAACTTGAAAATTAGATTTTCTAAAAAAGCAAGTGGAGCACTTTGCGATCAAAGGTTTTAATCACTCAACACAGCATGTCTGATGGTACATGATGATCATGACTCATCAGTACGAGTGCTGAGGGATTAGAATAGGCTCAAATTGAACTGATATCCATTGCACTTCATTGTGAAAGCTTCGGGTGAAACCTTCAGCCTCAGCAGATATAACTATAACACTCGCAGGTTATTCTTCCTCTACATAAACATCTCTGTATCTGTGCATTCCATAACTGTTATGCTATAATGCCCTCTAGTGGCAAATATACTTATGTATGTTGCAAAATGAACTGCAGTATATCAGATTGATCAGGCACATCCCAGCAGAACAAACTGCCTCTTCTCTCCTCTGATCCATCACATAGGCACTGACATCAACAGGCAACCATCCCATCTATCCCGCTTCCGACTGTAGGAGGATGTCCATTGGCTTTTCATTTGATATCTATATATCATATTTGGCCCTTTGGCAGTTTCTGACAAGGCATACCTTGGCAAGTACACACACTCTTACAGCTAAAGCACATTCACTACTCTGAGGATCTACTCATCCCATGGCCTGAAGTGAAACAAAATAACAAAACAAAAAAAACTCTTCAATAATAAATAATCAGAGCCATGTACACACCACTGTTCTAATAGATCTGTGCAAAAGTTTCACTGGTGTCCATGGATGGCCCAGGCCTTAAGACACACCTGCAGCACTGCAGTCACTCTAGACAGAAAAATCATCATCAGGTACTGGGGGGGTGTGGAGGGCGGGGAGACTGCTGGGAGCTGTGGACTAGAGAGCTTGTGGTGCCGACGTCCAGCTGGCAGTGAGAGCCATTAGGGTCGATGGAATCTGAAAACAGAAAGACACAGACTTTAGTTCAGGACAGAGATTGTCGTTGTTGCGGCTGTGCTTCTGCATGCGTTGTGTTATAGTAATGTTTTCATAGTTTATTGCTATCTTTACATTTGGCTTTTATTTTATCACTTATACTGTCATTCATCTTAACTGTGCACTGAGCACAAACCTTTTTGAAAGACACTCACTGAAGGGAAAAAACAGATATCGGGGTGGTCATTTTTTAAATCTAAATATTCAAACTAGTGTTTCAAATTGAGAAAAAAAAATAATGATTTATGTCTGACCTGCACTGTGAACCTATCAGTTCACTAAACTAAGTGTTATCATTCAAAGCCATCTTTACTCTCGAGTGAAAAGAGGACGTTATTATCATAATAAAAAAAAAATAACCACAAAGGATTAAATGGATTCATGGAGTGGATTCAAATATATTTAAACAACTATAAAGTTTTTGTTCTAGTTTGGTTGAATTTTTATTTTAAATTAAGGCTCCTGTGAGTAATTTTGGTTTGTGTATACTTTGGTGCCTCCTGTGGACAAAGCGATGCCTCAATTTTTTTCCTGTACAGTGCATGTGTATTTTACGGTCAAATGTAGCACACTCTGGAAATCTATGCAGTAGAAAATGTACAAAGGTTGTTTCTGTTGTGTGCTGTTTACCATCTCATCTGACAAGTACCCCATGGCAGCGATTTCTTTAGGCCTTAGAAATGACTTCAAAGAACTAGTATATCTCTTTAAGATCACATACTGTAGTGGCATTCATGTTTATTTTAGTCTGAGCTTTGGGTTAGAAAGTAACATTTCTCACACTGGTGAAAAAAGAACACAGTTAATAAATCAACTGCAGCTACTTTTTGATCTGACAACGTCTCCTCTAATTACAAAAATGTTCCTCAATAAAACAAACAGCTTTTTGAAAAGACTTCATGGTGATGCTGAACTGTAGTGTACAGTTTTAGAGAACAAAAATAGTGTCTGTGTTATGTTACCTTTGGATTGTTCGTGCTCACTCATCTAAACACTGCAGAAGTACATAAAGGAGCTATTGTTTTCCAAAGTTATTACGTAATACAAAACAATGTTCACATTGGTAGAGCTTAACAGTTCTCCTGAGGGCTGAGAAACAATTAAAGCGGAACACTAGAACAAAACAAGTCTAAGCAATGGTATATTTGAAATGTGTGTGATATCATTTTTGAATACAGAGGAAACATAAAGCATTAATGTCATACAGAGAGCAATTGCAGAATTTACAAATATTGAGTAATATCTTCTTATTATTCGTTCTTACTTGTGGGAATATTCCCTTCTGCACTCTGTGCAGCGATAACATAAAAAACCACATGACTCAGATCTAATGACATATGAGAGGGTGAACCTGAACTTTATTAACAATCAATACCTGAAGCTAATGAACTGGAGTGGACCCAGGTGTCTATATATCCTGACTTTAATGTGGTCACAGGAAATGGCTTTTGGGAGCCAGAATTATTTAAATATTGATCAATGGGAGCAAATAAACGGCAGGATTTACGCTGATGAATTACTAATGAAGTGAAAGTTATCGTCCGAGCTGGAAGTCATCGACCGCTCCAGTACCTGGTGAAATGTTTGCTGTCCTCGTGAACCTCCATCTCCCGGCTCTTAAACTCGTTCAGCTCCTTACGGATAGCAGCCTGAGGGACACACACAAAAAAAGACACAGCATGATAAAAATGCACCTAGCAGGACAAGGCCACCTGTCCATTACTCACTGTGATGTCTACTCTAATCACATTCAGTCTGTGATCTCTCAGTATGACTTTTAAGGCAATGGCTTTCTTTTCATAAATCAGTGCTGCTGCAGACTTCAACTCAGGAAACTTCCCACAGAGAAATTCAACATGTTGTGCCAGTAATGTACACAGCATCAAACCTTTTGTTTTCTTTGTTCAATTAAGGCGTAACTAAGTGGATTTTGATTTCCTGTTATCATGAAACAACCTTTATAATAAAAATGTGCACATTTTTGTAATGGTGATATGTAGTTCTGCAAACAAACAGCAGAGGGCAGGCTTCACAAATAGACCAGCACACACTGAGGCAGTGTTGTAGTCAAGACCACACTAACCGAAACCAAGACATACCCGAGACCAGAGTGCTCCAAGACCGAGACAAGATCAAGACATACTGTAAGGGATCGAGACCGAGACAAGACCAAGACCAAGACCAAGACCATAGATATGACTGAAGAAAAATCAACTTGTGTGCAGCAGGCGTGTCATTCACTTAGACAGTAACACCAGGAAGGTTGGTGCTGTAACCGGGGGATAAACATCAAATTATAAATGAATAGAAATCATTCATTCTTTTAGAAAGTTGTGTTCTCCTTCTAATCACAGGGTTGGTCTTGAATGGTCTTGATTTAAAATCCGGATTCCGTCGATTCCGAGACTGAGACAAGACCGAGTAAAAATGCTTTTGATTCCCAGACAAGACTGAGACCTTCAAAAATTGTTCTACAAGACCGATTTCGAGTACTACACCTCACAATGAGGCCCCTGTATCTTCTGTAAGGAGATTTTATAAAGTGTGGCTTTAAGAAAAAGCCAAAGGCTTCAGAACACAATGATTTTCAAGACAACAGTGTGCTTCTAGATTTGTGACAACAGCTCGTGGATGACCATTTCCTGTTTCACAAAGAGACATGTATGTAAATATGTTAAAGAACCTAACTAGCCTGCAAAAACCTGCAACTCCATCCAACATGTCTGGGATGAGTTGTAACACAAACAAGGAGCCAGGGCCTGTAGCCAAACATCAGTGCACAAACTTATAATGCTATTATGGGCTGAGCAAGAGTGAATCCACACAGCCAACATTGTTTGGAAAGCTGCCTTCGAGGAGTGAAACAGCAGAGTTAAAGCACAAGGTTTTCTTGTTTTCTTTGTTTTAACATTCTTATGTCCATGTAGTGTACTTTGACATCCTTCAACTACCTCCTGTAGTTCCCTTCAGTCCAGATTCTACAATTTAGCATATCATGGACATATCACCTTGTCAGCTGGGGTAAGCCGTGTCCAGGGTTTGTCCGCCCGTCGGTCATAATCCTTGGCGTCCGTGACCTCCACATACTCGTTAAAACGTAGGATCCTGCGAGCGACAAGCTCTGCCACCGTCGGCCTCACACTCAGCTACACACACACGAAAGAGGGAGAGAAATTCAACAAGACATTCAAAAACAGTAAGTTTTAAGTTACTGTATATTCAAGTCTAACATACTGTTAATATGTTAATATGTGTTTAAACTGTTCCCAGACTTAATTATTTAAAAAGTTTTCAGAAGGGAAAAGGTTATCTTGATCACACAAGGACAACTCACAGAGAACACACAGTTCTATCTGTGTCCACTAGGTGGACTGATCTGTGCACTGAGCATCTTTCCTGCCTCCAAACATGACTCATAAGATGGAGCCAAACATATTAGTGGTTAAATATAGCCCCGCTGTGTCCTTTCAGTTCTCCCCCGTGTGTATATGTGTGTGGATGTGTTGTTATTTACACTACCTTTCTGGAGAGTCTCCTCTTAATCTCTTGTTTGGCTTCTTGTGCCTCTGCTTCATTCTTTTCTGCACATAAAGAACCAACAGTCATTTCACACCTTCCATGTCTGCAACAAACTTCTGCATCTATTTAAAAAAGCAAGATGTGATTCATCACATTATGGTGCATCTGTAGTTATGTAGGTGTGATTGTTTTTAACGTACAGGAAGCAAAGAGGGAACTATGTCTTTCTGTTATTCTGGAGACGACTAATGAGCTATGTTTACTCCAACATTCATCCTCTCTCATGGTGTCTTCATGGATGTTAAATGTATATTTGTGCATGAACAGATGAGGCCCCGTGTCCACCTTTTTTTTCAGAGCGCCTGCGTATTTTTTAAATTTGTTTTCAATGAGGACAGAGCGTTTGCAGCAGCAGGGGGTCGCCTGGAGAAAAAGCGCAACTTTTCAGAAAGGCACTGTTGATGTCACGACCGCTCTTCTCCTTCCTTGTAGTTTTGCAGCCTACCGATCGTGTCTTGTTCCCACATTCTCTTTGCTCCGTGTCTGATTGGGAAATAAACAATCAAATAATAAGTAACAGAGCTGTGTCTGTCATACAGCGACCAATGTCAACAGACTGTTGTCATAGAGACAGGAAGGATGTGCAGCGCTTTTCGTATCAACACACAGACGCTTCATGCCAGTGCTCCAGAGCGCACAGCCAGCGCTTTTCTGCCCGGAAAAAACGCTAGGTGGACACGGGGCCTAATGGGTAACTTGGCCTGGGACTCAGGTAAAGTCTTAGACCTCTAAGATTCCAAACAGATATTTTTTTAAACGCTATTCGTGAAAGATAAAGGTTACCTGACTTTGGTTTCCCATAAAAAACAACTCTTCAGAAAGACTCTTACTTTGTAGTAGTGTGAGTAAATCTATGTCTCTTTTAGTCCTCAGGCTGAACACACACATCAGAAGTTGACTTTATGTTACCCGTGTTATGACCTGACTGAGGATGTGTGAAAATCAAACAAGGTCCAACAGATTCAGATGGACTCCATGCACCGAAGCTGCAAACCCTCTTATTGAACTGTCAAAAGTTCTCAAAGACTGAGCTCAGTAATTTAGATTCACTACACTTCAGTTGTAAAGGTCGAAGGTCGTTCTCGCAGTTTAACAGCTGTTGTGAGCTTAAATGTCTAGTTACAGTCTGAGAGAAGGTGTTCATTCATGGAAGAAATCTAGCTGCTCTCTCACTCACTGATTCAGACATGTTCCTTTAGAGTCCTCTGATACCTTTATTAGGATTTAATGTTAAAATTCCACTTGAGGTGCGTCATGGTCATTGTGGATACACCGAGAGGACATACAGGATGATATCAGAGTCTGAATTTTAATTTCCTGTTTTGAAAAACAATCATAGACTGTTTGCTCCTTTTTTTCTCATTAGCATAAAGCAACAACTCATTAGTGGAAGAAATTGCTGTTTGAATTGCTTCATTGAGGCCAAGAGTAAAACCGTTTTGAAATTATAATACCTCCAGCTTAAATGCTCTTTTTAAGTCTCTCTGGGCAAACAATGTAAGCTGGCAAACCCTTCAACTGATTAAAGCCCTGCTTGGTAGCATAGAGTACAGTTTGTATTGTCTAAAACAAATTATAGACAATAAGAAGTACATACAATACTAGTGTGTGTGTACTCAGCACATCAATAATGTAGGCAGCAAGTGAGAAAAGAAAAATCAAAAATTGATTATGAAGACAATTTTGAGGCAGTCAGTAAATTCAACTAAATGAGATCACATTAGTTGAGTGAATGAAACCCGGCACTTCTAATAAAAGGTGACTCATGATTTAGACGGACACATCTGTCTCATCAAACTGATTGAAGAGACACATCTGGACATCTGTTGGTTACACCAATGAAGACCAGACAGCTGGAACACCACAAAAACCAAGAAACATCTATCACTTAATTATAATCTATGTTCAAACTCTAAATGAGTTACGATTTAAAATGAGCTTGTTTACAGCTTCACAAAAGAGAAAGCCTGAATGTTTGAGTCTATTTTTCCCTGGGGAAAAACACTGACTGAAGCCTTATGAACTATTCAGCAGCACTAATAAACGGCTAAAGTACTGAAGCAATTTATTTTGGGTGGGTCTTGTAGAGCTTTTCACTGACATTTACATGACAAGGCCATAACACAGTGTAAACTTGGCTAACAGGTATAGGAGCTTGTTGGACATCCTGTTCTGAAACCATTGAATGAATGTGGAGTTGGACCAATGCCTTAACAGCACAACAACTGCCTTCTGCAGATTTGTTGGCTAAAGTTCTGGCTGCAATACCTGATATCAATAATTAGAAAGAAGGGGGTGCATAATCAACTAATGGATTAAAATGACAGGTACATGCTTTTCTGTTAAAGTAAGGTAGGTGTAAATAGTCTGATGATGGATATTCTCATACAAGTGTTACTGTCTGTTTATTCAAATATTCAAATATATTTTTATACCAGTTTGTATTATTATTTCACATTTCTGCTCTTCTGTGTAATTCTTTGTAATCAGTTCTTGGCTTTGTTTCATTTTTTCTTACTTGTTCAAGCGGTTTAAAAGAAAAAAGAACTTCCCTAAGGGGCTTAGGCTAAAGTTGTACAGAAATCTCTTAGTGAAAAAAGAAAATGCTATTTCTATTTACGTTCTGAACATCATGACAACAATAAATCCTTCTCCTCTCAGTGTATAGAGTAATAGAACATTTCAGGGACTCACGCTTGAGGATGTTTCTCTGCTCCAGCTCCTCCGTGCTGGGTCTCTGGCTCAGACGCCTGAACAGAAAAGAAACTGTTCTCATACGTTCGCTAACAAGGAGCAGGTAAGAAATTCATTTAAAATGTCACTACCAGAAAAAACAGGAGTTATCACAGTTATGATCATTTAACACCTTTTTTTTCTCTTATTAATCCAAAGGCTTCTTGCTAAAAGCAGTTCTGTCTTATTGTGAAAAGGCCAAGAAAAAAACTTCAGCCAACTTAATCATCTGTGCCAGTACACCACCCACAACGACACCAAAAAAAAAACCTCATTAAAAAAAACCCTGTTATGAACCCCCAATTCTGCCAAATCTATGGTGGAAATTTGCACCTTACACCATTTCACACTACACTGAGGGTTTGTGTGTACCTGACCAGTTTGCTGCCTATCTGCTGGCGGAGCTCGTGTCTCTCCGTCTCCGAGCTTCGCGGCAGAATGTTTTTCTCCTCCAGCTCCCTCTTGCTGGGTCTGTTCCCCAGTTTGATGTTCAGGGTGTCTCGCCGGCGGATCTTTATGGCCAGAGCGCCTGAAACAAAGAAAGAACAGGGAGAAGTAGTCAGGGGCTTTTCCCATCCTGTTCAACTTGGAGATTAGGCGCGGAACATAACTAGAACCAGGGAGATACGACCTCATGAAGAGAAAAGTTCATTTTTCATGTTCCATGTGTAATAGGCACCTCCGTTTGCGTAGTGGTGTGCGGGATGAACCGGATGTGCTCGGTTCATTTAGGCTAAGTGGAAGGGCCGGATCGAGGGGGGGTTGCCGTGGTAGTCTGGGCCCCACTAGAAAAGTGATTGGCCACCCCAAAATGCTTGTGCAACAGCAAAATCCTGACTTACTATTCTTGCTGTTTTGCTACAGGCTGTATGTAGCTCTGCACTTCATTTTGGCACATTAAGAGTATATATACATTTTATAAGTCAATACAAGTATTTTTTTTTTATAAAAGAGGCTCTGATTTATAAAGAGTAATCACAGCCTACACTGTCATTAATTACAGTTACAAAAATGCAATTGATTGACAGCACTGGTTAAAGGTGAACTTTTTTAAACCTTTACAAGTCATTTGATTTGGCCCAATTTTGGTGACCAATCAAATCAACATATCAAAGACTTTCTCTGCAAAGTTAACTTAAATTATGCAAAGCACAATACTTCACAAACATTTTTTAAAGAACTGCCTGAAAAAGCTTCACTGTATTGTTCATAAAAAAATGATGTTCTTCATATAATATATTCTCTTTTCCTCCTGAGTATCTTGAACATTGTTGGATGTAATACGGAATTAAGGCCTTACTGTTTGTGTACTCATCATCCTCCTCTTCCTCCTCCTCATCGCGGTACAGGATTGGTCCATCAGAGTCAGAGTCACTAGTTGTGCTGTCTCTCGGCCTATCGGGGATCACTGTCACCTCGGGCTGCTCCATGTTGACACTCAGGCCTGCTGGTTTTTCAGCTTGGCGCACGGCAGACCTGCGGGAAATAAACAATAAACAACGTTTTTATGTTATAGCAGACAACTTATAAAATCATAGATTCAATTATGGCTTGAAAACTTTTTATTTTTTATTTTTTATAAATTAGGGTTGCCAACTTTTCATAAAGCATAACATATTTAGTTTGGAGCTCAGTGCCACAGTCGTGTGGGTATAATGTGTGAATGTAGTGTATAAGCAAAAAATGTGTATCTGATCTGTAGTTTTTACTAAAACTGTATTATTATGCAAGTTTATATTAATAACCCTCCCCCCATCTGAGAATACTTGAGATGTTTTTATAGAGATATTGAATGAAACCAGTATCAAAAGAGTCACATTCTGTCAGTAGGTAACCTAAAGATAAAAATTAGGTTATTATAGTGGAAATAAATTATTCCACTCTCAACTTGGGACCCTTTGTAGCCCCCCTTATTGACCCCTGACTGTCCATGGATTCTGATTTGAGAACCACTCCAAAAAGCTTTAAATTAATTTAAAGGTCAGAGTCATAAAAGAAAAACTGCACAAAAAAAGGTTTTGAAATAAAAGGCTTCCCACTGCCGCTCACAGCTTCAAGCAGTTTATGTCTCATAAAAGGAACCTTTTGCTAGCATGGCCTTCTTGTGGATCTCTGTAGCAGCCTGCTGTGTTAGTCTCACCTCTTTCCCCGATTGAAAATTCCAGAGGGCATCAAGTGCTTAACCCAGGTCTTCTTTGCTCCCCATTGCTTGCTGTAGCTGCAAAGCTTTTCTTTTTTTGTATCCACACTTGTGCACCACAGGGCGCCTGAACAACAACCATCAATGAACAAATCTTACTTCAGCACTTCTGATGCTGTATGTACATCTGACGCAAGAAAGAGGGGCTGTGATTGGACAACAGGTGTCACTTGACGGTTGTGATCAGTGCATGATATGGCTTCTGGCCGTGCCTGATGATCTCATCTAGGATCAGTACAGTGTCATCTAATGATTACATGAAAGTAATGTCACCTCAGGACAAAGGGTGTCCCCAAAAATCAATTCAGTTTGTAATACGGGACGTCCTGGCTATTACAGGATGGTTGGCAACCCTAATCATAGTGCGTCTCCTGCAAGACTACTGTGTAGGTAACAACATTTCTTACCTTGGGCCATTCTCCACAACAGACTCTGCGTCCCCTTTCTTCTTTTCTTCTTCTCCTCCCTCTCCCCCTGTCCTCCTCTCTGTCTCCTCCTTTGAGCAGCTGTCGTTCTCTCCCTCTGTAAAGGAGGTGTCCTCTGTAGCAGAGTTGATGTGGGGAGTCTGGACCGTGGCTTCAGGAGCCTTATCTTTGTGGGTCTCCTCAGTTGAAGTAGAGGCATTGGGAGTAGATTTAGTCTCAGGACCAGGTTGAGAAGCAGCCTGAGTCCCCCCTGTCTCACTGCCTGAGGCTTTAGATGAACCAGCTGTCTTGCTATCTGAGGAAAGAGGGGAGGATTTTAACTCTCCAGGCTGGCTAGGAGTCTCTGCAGAGGCCTTTTGAGGTACTGAGGAAGACGTGGGAGTGTCTGATTTCCGGCTGGTCCTTCCATCCGTCCCAGCAGCATGTGCTGCAGCGTCTTTAGACACACGAGAACGAGGGGTGGAGTTGGAGGTGGAAGTCAAGACAGGGGTCGTTTTTGTTGTGGATCCTGTTTTCTTTGGATGGGATGATTTGACTGAGAAAAATAAAAAGAGAAGGGACAGATTCAAAATTGAAAATTCTTCCATCTTTAAGCTGGTTCACTCCCATAGTCAGAGAAATGCCGTTTATACAAATGAAAAGGTTTTCTATGAGTGTACATGTGGTCCGCTTTAAACTCATCATGTCCTAAAATGCATAACTCCTCCCAGTATTACATTTTGGCATCTCATCAGATTTTGTGATTAATAATATTTTAATCTACTTTTTACGAGTATATAGAAGTGTTATTAGATTTTAAAAGAGAAGCTGAATGTTGCTTGGTCAGATGTAAAATAAAACAACATCTTATTTTACTATTCAGACTTAATGACCATATGAGTATCAAACTAAAAGCAGCCTGTAGTCCGAACCCCTGTGGGGGAATCAGAGAAAACGTAGATAAACTTGTGCTGTAGCTAACAATTTATGTGCAGACAGCATGTTAACATAACTAGCCAGGACCACACAGAAATCTAAACAGTCTGAAGTGATATTCACAGAGCGTTTACAGGCCATGTGTTTTGTTTGTAACTTTAACACAAGAGGAGAGTTTAGCAGGAAAGCTAATTTTAGAAGCTGCTAAATGAAAATCTTTTTCTTCCTGCTTTCATCAATTGTTTCATCAAGGAGGAGTTGTCAGGTCTCTGTAGTTTATATTGAAAACGTATATTCTATGTCTGTTCTACATGTCACGTTTCATGAGATAATGTTTTGATTTGACACGATATGCATGAACAAAAATGAAAAAGATTGAAGACCCAAAGTCTGACAGTCTGCCAGTGGCTGTAAGTTGGTTTGGTTGTATGGAAACTAGTTTTTAATTCAAGCAAAAGGAAGAAAACTGAGTTTTGTTTATTTAATGCAATACAGGTAGCACAATATGATGCTAATAAAGAAGATAAATAGATTTTCCCATTATGTCCACTAGGACTAAAGTAAAGATTGGTTTTATTACTCCTATTAATAACCGTTCTAATCCATTTTGTTACACTCAAATCTATAAATAAACGAGTGAACAGTGAAACTGTCCATCAATATCTCCCATTAGCACAGGGAGAACAAAAAACCTACACAATCTCTATGTCCTGTTGTTGACCGTCTAATCGTTTGATTCCTAATTTCCAGTACCTATAAGTTTCATTATTCATTTGATATACAGAAATGATTTGAAAATGCTTGCAGCCTTATATTCTAATAAAAGAAAAAAACATATCTAATGTGTAAACCTCACATCTAGAATCAAACTATGCTAATACTGTGTGAAGTAGTCGTTTATGTGTCTCTGAAGTTTCTCTGTGTGCTGGTGGAGGTAGCCTGAGGAATAGCATGGACTTAAAAACGCCCTTTAAAGACCAATGAAACAACTCTTGTCCCACTTTCCCAATAACTGAACATCCATTAAACAGAGGCTTGAAGGCTCGAAGAGACTGCATGAACATCATGCAACATTCAGTCCTCTGTGCTGCTGAGCTTCATCATGCTGCAGGTTAAACAAGTACACAGACGCTGGGTGACGGGTAATGATCATGCCCTGAAATCAACCGTGCAACACTGACCTCAATCACTGTCACATGCACGCTCAACACACCCACACACACTCTGCAGAGCCAGAGGCTGACAAATGAATTTTCACTTCTTTCTCAAAAAACAGAGTGAAATCACCAATTAACACGTTCACAGATACTCACTGTCAATTGACTGTCAATCTCTTCTAATGTTCAAAATATAAAACATGGGGGGAGGAGGGTTGAGCCACTTGACAGGAAAACTGGACTTGACTTAAACTTCACATCAACATGAGGCAAATGTTTACGCTGCAGAGGTCTTAATGTAGAGTTCTCTTTTGCTTTAACTTGTGAAACAGGCATATTTTCCATGCAGGGAGCTCAGGCAGGCAGCATACAGGCTCTAAGCAAGCCGGACTTACCAGTCCCACGACCAGTAGTGTTAGTGCTCCGCGGGTTAGCTTTAGCTTGAGCGGTTGAGCCTGCCTTGCCTGTGGTTTTAGCTGCCTTTTTAGTTCCCGCAGCACCATCTCTGTGCCTGGTTGTGGCTGCAGTGCCACCTGCAGGTTTGGAAGACACGGGCGGAGCGGCACTTTGCTGTTTCTTAGCTTCTCGAAGTCTCGCTTGGTTCAGTCGAGGGAGGGGTTTATTATCACGCCTCGCTGAGCAGATCAGAGGCAGCAGAGGAAAGGCAAGATATTAAGAGTTTAAAACAAAAAAGGTTAAGGATGAATGATGCACAATTTGACATGCAGACAAGCAAAGAAAGAGATATTGATAGATAAGAGGCGGGGTGGAAGGAGATTATGATTGATGATGAGAATAAGAGGCGATGCTTGATCGTGTAGTCTGGAACAGCTTTTTTTAGAACTGTAAAAAGAAGAGTGATGACTGGGGCTGGGGATACAGCATGCAAGTTGTACCCATTAACCTTCCCTGCCCTCCACTGTGAACAGAGTGTGTTCTCCTCCTGCACGTATATGCAGTGTTTGTTCCCCCAGCCGCTCTGTTTATTGACAGATCAACAAACAAATTGCTCCGAGTTCAATGCTAACAGGGTGAGATGAGAACAGCACAACACTTAAGCAGCATCAGACAGGAGAACAGAGGCCTGTCTCCTGAGGCAGAGGGAGAGCATTAGGAAGAGGTTACTGCTCGGTGCAGACTGAGAATGCCTTCTGCAGGCTGATATAATGGGAATATCTATTTGAGCACATTAGACCTGGTCTGGGAACCCAAAGAGGTTCAATGTCAGCCAGAAAACTGCTGCCGATACAAATGCATTTCACTACGCAGGGAAAGGCAATTAACCATTAAAAAAAAGGCTGCATTTGATTCTACCATTTAAGTATGATGTCACTACAGGGCTACAAGAAGTTCCATACTCCTGAGAAACATGACATTTTTTTACGCTTTGCAATGGGAAGTGTTTGCTTGTTTTTACAACTGTTCAACCAAACAGATTATAAGAACTTGTGAATTAAGAGAATGTGAATGCACCAGGAAGAAAAAAGCCTAGAAAACTGTGAGCAAAGCATTTTGATGCTTGAGGTGCAAAGTATTTTCATGATCAATGATCATAATATAGGAGAGGAAAAGCCTCTTTGTAATTAAGGATTTTTTTTCATCAGCCTTTTGAGAATCCTTATTCGACTTCTTTTCCCACTATACGGTGAACTACAATTTCTACTACTATTTTACTTTCACTTCACAGGATTTCAGCCTCAGTCAAAGTTGTTTTCCCTTTGAATGCAAGTGCTGGTTCAGATATTAAAAACAAGTCACTTCCTGTTTTTGAAACTGAAAGCGTATCACAATTTAGAAAAAAGACTAACCCCTTGAGTTAATTCCTGCTGACGTTTTTATGAAAACAGTAAAGGTGTAACATCCAAAGTTAAAAGCCTGAACTAGTCCAGAGATTCAAAAGTGAAATCTTCAGGTTTCCCCTGACTACAGATCACAGGACGTCATGACACATGATTGATGTAGAAAGTACCTGTTTTGTCCTCAGTGCTGACGGGCCTAGTGGCCTGTTCCTCCAGCGCTGTGTCTGGAGTCTCAATGTCAACTTTGACCTCCTCTGCTGTCTCCGTTGCGGTGGCATGACCATTCAGATTTTCACTGCCAATCGTTTCCTCTAAAAGAGAGAAAAAATATAGTTACACTAATGGAAATCCATGTTTTTTTTCCAGTTAACATTATGTTTAGTCAAATATTACATTTCTTTTGGATCATGATTGAACTGAAAATACAAAAAGCCAAAGAAACCCATACTGATGGGACAGTTGAACTTAGTGTGGACACGGGAAAAGAAGGAAGAAATGTTCAGTTGATGAAAAAAATAATCAAGGTAGAATCTCTTCAGCTCTCCATTGAGTGTCAGGAAATGTTCTGAGTTGCAATTAAGGCTCCATCATGGGCCACTCGGAGACATTTAGCATTTTACTCCTTTTTTTAATTCCCAGAATGGTGATATTAAAGTCTGAGATTGTGCAGCTGACAAATGGATACGTGGGAAATGAAGAAACACGTGACTGAGTGATCAGACAAACCTTGGTCAGGAATAAGAACTCCTTTCTTGATCAGTTCCTCCCTCGTCTGTCTGGTGGAAATTTTTCTCTCTAAAACTGAAAGATGAACATTAGGTCAGTGTGTGTTTCAGCAGGCACATTTGATATGGTTTTCTTCTATCTCAGTCTAAAAGCATCAGCCATGCATATACACAGACTTCTATGACAGCACTGAACAGGAGCCACTTTGTTCTCCGTATTGCAAAAATCATCACTGCAATCCTCACCATGCACGTGACAGCGCCATGTATGGAGTCATAGAAGAGGAACTAAGCTTAATCTGACACCTTGCTGCTGCAACACAACAACAGCAGGGTGTCTAACACTATTCTACATATATGATAGTAGGCTGTTTATTGAGTTTTGAAAAGCTTGTAGATTTTTTATCTAATTAAATATCTTAAATTGTATATATACCGTATTAACTGTGAGGGAAATTGAACTTTTCTGAGACACGCTTTACACACACATTTAAGCCCCAAAGTACAAACAGGACCTTTAGACATGGATTTATGGCGATGTGTCAGCGTGAGGAGGCTGCACAGGGACTGACGCACGAGCTATTAGGGGCTCAGTGCCTTGCTCAAGAGCACCTCGGCAGTACGCTGGGGAGTAAACTGGTATCTTTCCAGCAACAAGTCCCAATTCCAAACCAGGACCTGAACCAGTAAGTAACCATTAGATTCCACAACCAAGTCCCTTCACACTGAGCTACTACCAACCCTCGATCAAAACAACTCGTTTTTGAACACATCCCTATTTGGAATCATTAGAAGCGTTGAGTATCTGTACAACAAACATTTATGGTATTGACGAATGTAACCCATTATAAAGTACTATTAAAACTGAAAATGTAGTACCAGATGCAGTGCACTATTTGAATGTATATCTGTTTAAAGGCCGGCATATTAGGGCCCACATCTGGTTACTTTATGTTTTAGACACATATAGCCCAACGCACAGCTTCTATCAGTTTTACACACTATGACAATCAGATGGCAAACAATGCTCCAAACATAGTAAAACATTTTTTATTAATTATTTAATTCTATGAATACAGTGTCAGTTCTTGTATGAAAAATATAGCTCAATGTTTTCAGAGTGTTTCAATGAGTGCATATTGCCTCCCATAGTCACAAAAAAGGCAAACTATAATATTTAGCATGTAACATAGTACTTCACCTTGGAATGAAACAAAATACATAAATATTAGAACAGCAGAAGGTGAAAATTATGAAGATGAAAATGTCAAAAATGTAACCCCAAATGTAGACCATGAGCAGCTGATGCTACTGAGAAAGGAGGAAAGGATTAGCACCCTCAGAGCTCCTGGTGTGATGTGCTGCAGCAGCACCCGACTTCCAAAAAATAAACATCGGAAAAGAAGAACTGGATAAATTGTTTTCTCTCTGCATCTCATCAGTGGCCAAAAAACCAACCCGAGGGACATGAGACTGTGAGGAGAGCATTCAGATAAGAAAGGGAGAGCATACACCTAGCAGCAGTGAAGAAGAGAGTGTCTGCTTTCTGTGTGTACTCCTGTCCTTTCTTATTGTTCAGCCAACACGTTCACAGGAATAAATCAGTGAGAGCTGTAAACAAACTTCACTCTTTTCCTTTTTCAGCTTGGCAGGGAGCAACACCGCTGCTGTTCACACTTCATGTTCAGTATGAAAACATTTGTGAAACCTCGATGTTGTATAGAAAGTAAACACTCACACACCTATTGACAGATCCTGGAACTTGTCGCTTGTCTTCTTCTTCCTCCACTTCCAGGGTTTAAACAGTTTTCCTATTGATGACAGCTTTCCTCGCTGCTGCCGTGATCCTGGGGCATTTTGGGTATTAGAGGCACTTTCCACAGCAACTTCACAGCTTGCAATTGATGCTTTCTCCAACCCATCAACTAGAAGACAGACATGTAGAGACACAAGAATATATTTAAAACATCAGATCTAAGACATGAACCAACTGAACTTATTTTATCAAATAATAAATAAAGAAGATAATGTTTACTAGTAACAGCTCATCCTTGTTTTAAACGTGTTTGTGGATACTTGGTCGTGATTCATTTCAAACAAAATGATCTATTTAATCACAATGTAAACCAATGAGAAGATCTATAATTTGATGTGTTATTCCATGTTATGCAGGCTAGTGGCAAAATAACAGAATAGACATATAATACACTTACATCATGGTAACTGGACAACAAAAACAGTTGACTAGACAACTCTGCAATTTCCATTGGGTCTAAAACTAAGTTGGGTCTAAGTGGTGACCCATGATTTACTCCAGAGGTTCACAATGTTAAACATGGAAGGATTAAAAAAAGAATAAATTAAAAACAACATTGTACCCTTTTTCTAGTAAATCACTTTAAGAATTAATGTCTCAATGTGTTGAATAGTCTGAAGAGAACTCATCACAATAAGTGCTTTTTCATATATTTATGGACTCAATGAATCTATAGTATTAAGAATTAATGAAGCAGTGAAAGAAGGCTTGAGACTTATGTAATGGACAATAAAGCAGAATATATTTGCATGAATTATTTGCTTTACTCTATAATTCAGCTTTCTAAGCTAAGCAGTGCTTTGTAAGCACAAAGGTTATGTTTCGTTACAGCACTGGAAGTGTGTCTGCCTGTATTTGTATGACTTGGCCAGATCCATGTCCTTCCACAACTCCTCCCCTTCCTGTTGAAAGGATTAGATGTGCTGCGAACTCTCTGGAAAACTGCAGACGGAGTATGGATGGTGTGTGTGTGCGTGTGCTTGAGTACATTGCCGGAACCGCACAGAGGAAAGAGTGGTGGTGTGCGATTCCTCATATTCAAGAAGTGGAAGGATTTTGTTTTTTCAGCTACATAACATCTACTGCTGAATCACTCAAGCCCTCTGACTGTAGGGACCCTTCTGGGGCTTAAAAGTTTTACAATTTCTGCAGTAAATCTTAGCAGATTAAGACATTTTTTCCAGAGTTTCAGGGGTTGGCACAAAGTGCAGAGTAATTTGAGTTATTCTGGAACTACTGCATTTGCTGGTCTTGTCAGTTACAGTTACAGTTGAGCACTATGAGGGTTCACAACAGGTTCCCGTGTTTTTTGAGGGTAAAGAGCTTCTCAAAATTCTGAATTCATACTCTCATAATTCATATTTTTAAATCACTACTCGGATGATTCATTCATTTCCCTCATGCTGCTTATAGTGTCCACTTGAGGCTGGCTGCAGAAGCCGAAGCCGAACAGCAGAAATAAACATGTTTACAGCCTGGTACAAAAAATGAAACTGGTCTGAATGGCGCATGTCTTTATCAGCATACACTGTACAGGGGGTGTACTGACGGGCGTTGGCGCAGTATGTCAGAAAGATGAAGATCTGCCTCGGATCCAGCTCTTAGCCTGTCATTAGGTTGACTGAAAGTAAGGGTGAGACAGCATTTCAAGCAAGGCGACCACTGTCAACAGACTTTGTAAGCCGCCATTAGTAACCAATGGGTGGGGATGTCACTCATGCTTATGCTCCATGTTTATTGACAGTCTATAGAAGCAGCTAATGTTTTTTCTCTTCTTTTTTTAACATAAAACATATTCCAACATATTTGACAAGGATGATTTGTAAAATTGATGCAGTTCCTCTTTATAACAATCATTTTATTTTTTACGTTCTTTATCTCACTTAAAGTTTTTCAGCAGACAAAATATACACACACAAGAGCACAAGCACACACACACAAATTGTACCTTTCAGAAAAATATCAGAGAGCCGGATAAACACAGAGCTTAATTTCATGCCTATTTCACAAACCACTCTTAACCTTTGAACACACGTCAGGCACACAAACAACTATGCGACAGACCCAGATTTTTCTTGTTGCTGATAACAATGACTAAAGATGCAACAGTCAAATATCAACCAAACTTCACGCAGACCGTCTGATCTCAGCTCATGTCCTTCTCGATTACTACTCAGAAACAAAAGAAAGGTTGGATGACAAGGCGACCGTGCAGTAATTTTCTAATTCTATTAAGAGGCTTATGCAACAACACAAAATCTCCCAGATTCCTCACAGACTCAAACTGAAAACACAAGCAGCAAAGTTGGCAGAACACATTTTAGCCATTTGCCAAACAAGCAACAAACTCTTTAGGAACTAAAAGAGCCATCTATAAAGGTTCTAAAGAAAGAGCAAATTTATGTCCTAATGATCAACTCAATGGAACTAATTGTCTATTTATTGGTTTGCCTTGATCAGCAATGACTGATGTTTGATGTCAAAACAGGACATGAGGTTCTGAGTATGTCTCACTGATCTGAGTGTTATGGATTAACTGCCTCTATATTGAACTTACTGGTAATGGCACAGCAAAAAAAAAATCTTAATTGTGTCTGTATAGGTTCTCAGTCATCCAGGTCAAGGTAAATTCAAAGCTAGGTTAATGGGGCAACAGTAGCCTCTGAAGGGACTTGGGTTGGGAACTGGAGCTTCCTGGTTAAAGTCTTGTTGCGGTCCATGATAATGGAAGTTGGTCTGGTAGATGGAGAGGTGCCAGAGCACTTCCTAAATACTGCCGAGGTAACCTTGACCTCTAGTGCACTCCCTGAGTAGCAGTGTGTAGCAGCCCCAATCTGACATCTCTTTATTAATGTCCACATGTCCTGTTTGTGCACGAGTGTAAACCAGAATTTCCCTCAGGGATTACTAAAATATATTTTTTTAAATAATAATTAAAATTACTATGCTAACAACTCTGAGTCATCCTTGATAACCAGATGATTTAGAACTGAAGAAGCCTTTCGGAGGATAGGTGAAACGTCTTCAAGATCTTCAACCAGTCCAGTTGCCTTTGGATCAAGCTTCAAATACACAATATCATTAAAGGTAAAGAACGGCCGGAAGCATGTGTTGGCCTGGACATGTTTTTATCTTGTTTTAAAACAGACTGGAATTCATATTCATGACTTGATATGACCTACAAAAGAAAATGAGACTATATCTGCAAGAAAACTGACTATGTCTAAAGGTATTTTTTGATCACTTTTACTGATGCTACTTGGTCAATGTTAGACAAGACGATTAAGAGCCTGCTGCAGGACCAGTCTTTGTTCACTTTCCCACTGTATACAGTAGATTCACAGTAATGTGAGATGTTAGACATTCAAAAGAAAAAAAGAACGAGATGTTTTTCTTTGGGAAACCCAATTTCAGCATGTTCAAGACAACTTCTGCAAAAACATACGAGGCACTGCTTTGTCCATAGGGGTTTTCCAAGAGTGACACAAAATGAAAGTTTCCTACAGCAGCTTTAAGTTGAAGCGAAACTTTGGTTTTATCCACCTGAATTGCAAACGGGGCTTCAAAAAGAAAAGCACTACATTCAAACTAAGCACTAACCTTCAGTACTCTGCTTTTGCCGTGTGCAAAACCTCAGCATGACAGAACAATAACAGACTGATTGTTCTCATCCGCCACATTTTGCTCACCTTACGACCCTGAATATACTGAGGAAATTAGGACAAATCATCCAGCAAATACACAGCATGACAATTAAGAGCATAAGAACCAAGAGTGAAGACATGGAGAAGAGCAGAGCAAGGCCAGTGCACTCTCTCCCCAGACACCAATTTAGTTCTCCCCTCTCACACACATACACAATCACATCCTGTTTCTGTGTTGATATCAAATCGCAACAATGGTGCATTTCAGCAGCTGCTTTGTGCTGCTAATGATGGGAAAATCAGCAACAGCGATTATCATCACCATTAGTCCAACTATCAAACCTTGAGTGGGAACCAAACTGGGACAATGGAGCAGCTTATAGAGCAGGAGAGGGAGAGAGAAAATGAAAGAAGAGAAAGGGACGGTGGAGCAAAATAAAATAATGTTATTGTGACTTTAAGTTAATGTGGAAAAAGAAAAAATGAACATGGACAAAAACAGTGAACTGACAAGCTGAGGCCAAATATCTGTTTCGCTCTTTCAACAATGGGTAGTCAGCAGTTTTCCTAACCAATAGAAACCTGCTTCATCTCGTTTCCCCAAAGAAATCTTTTCATTGTTCTCACATATGACATGTTGAGTTTGGTGGTTTTCAAATGGAAGATTAGAATCTTATTTGTTACATGTAGAAATATTGGAATGTTTATAGAAAGCTTGAATCACCCCTTAAACACATGACGTGTATAGACTCACACTGAGTGCATTCATTGGCAGATCTTCTAAGACTATAAAGCACTGTATTGAGTGATTTAATTACATGTGCAGCTGTCTTATTGTGCTATGAATAAATACTGGTTCCAATAAACAGTGCTCGTTAAAAATGTAGTCGGTTATCTTGTGATTCAGATGTGATTCTTATGTTGGGGCTAATGGTTAAACAGGATTTGTTCATTCCCATTGTTTCATTGCACTTTATAAACACAACAGATTTTTCTTTACTGTGAATAGGTTCATGTGAATAGATTAAATACCGATTGTTTTCACTGTGAATTTGCCAGGTAAAATTACCTTAAACTGGTGTCATTATTTTCTTTTTTTAAAAGGTATTTTTGGGCCATTTTTGCCTTCATTTGATAGAGCAGCTGAATAGAGACAGGCAATGTTAGGAGAGAGCGGGGATGACATGCAGCGAAGGGCAGAGGTCGAGAGTCGAAAGGTGGAAGTCATGTGATGTTTTAAAGTGAAGTTTAGGATGAGGTCATGTTGGGTGGTGGCTGGTATATGAACACATTTTTAGACTTTAACACTTGAGACCACACTTTATTTCCTGTTTCCAACTGTCAGTCAGTGTTGTTCTTAAAAAGCATGACCGTGATCATTTCCCAACCTTTGCCCCGGCTTAAACCGTGTACTACAAAAAGGCCTTTTTCTTAAATCAAACCGATTCATTTTTGGTGACACAAC